TATATATATATATATATATATATATATATATATATATATATCAAATTAGTGAAAATAATTTCTCTTTTTGGATTTTTTCTATGAAATACCTATGTTTATATAATTTTTTTTAGGGATATATGTGTAATTTTATTAATGAAGTTTATTTTTTTATTGACTCATGTTTTTATCTAATTTTGTACTTCCCAAAAGTGTAAAATAAGATATTCTTTAGATATTACAATAAAAATAATAATACTACACGAAGAGTTCAAAATTTTGAAAATTAGTAACCTAACAGTAAGTCTTTATCTTTTTCATTTATACTTGAGATTGGTATTGGTAGTATTGTCTTTAAGTAAAACTATGATGGTTAAAATAATGAGGGTTGTTATCCGTCTTATGTAATCATTAGATACTTTAAAGAATTAAAAAAATTTCTAAGATAATTATGAGATCAATAATATTTTATGGATTTGAATATTAGATAATTAAAAAATAACATAGACAAAAAGTTTGTATTGTCGAGATAAAAATGTTAAAATGGATATGTTAAATTAATAGAAAAGATAGAAAAAATATTTTTATTCGTAGATAACTAAATTTTGCATTCATAGAAAATAAGACAAGAAAAAATAATTTAAGATGATACGGATATATGTTTAGAAGTTTTTGGATACGATAGTAAGAAGAGATAAAATAATTGATATTATTGATAGGAGGAGAGATAGAGGAAGATCTAATAAGTTCTAATAAAAATTATAAATAAAGATTTAAGTATTTTAAACTTAACAAAATATATGAATTTTTATAAATCTTAATGATGATAAAAGATTTACATAGTCCATCACAAATAATTGTTGAAATGGTTGATTGATGATCGATAAAACTCTTCTTGTAAATCCAAAAATGCCTGTTTTTTTTTTTTTTTTTTTTATCTGTGGAGGAGGCCAAAGAAGCTCTAATGCCACAAGAGTGTTTCCTCATTTATTCACCAGATATTCTTAATCTCAAAAGGACTCGTAGGTTAGGCAGAGAGATATCCTGCAACACTCCTGACTCATCTCAGCTTCAAGATATTTCTATTCTGGTGCTACACAAGTTATGATTCATATTTCTAGTCTGGTGCTACACAAGTTATGGAATCAGGACATGAGAAAAGAGCAAATTTGATGAGATTCCTATGGGAAAAATATATAAATAAATATAATCTTAGAAGAGAGGTCTGATGGTGTTGTCAATCAATGGTAACATTAGGTGTCAATCATGATGATACATGAGATTCAAAATGTTTGAGAGAAGAGAAGAAAATTATATCCAATTCTGCCAAACTGAAAGGTGACTTTGTATTCAATTGAAGAAGCAAACTTTACAGACCTTTGACTTGGAGGACATGTCTTTAGCCATAATTTATTAATGGCAGGGCTTGCTTTTAGACCTTTCTTCACACTGCACCTGTTATATGAAAGTTCTTTCTCTGTCTTGGTGAACAGCTCAAGAAGTTCACAAGTCTGGAATAAGGAAGCCACCTGCATCTCTAAAGATTTAGGCAATTGACATGATGCTTTCATCTTGAAATGCTGTTGCTTTCTCAGTTTTAGTGTCTTCTTAAAGAAAAGGGCAATGAGGAACTTTGTCATCACAAACAGTGATACATTGTGCTGCTGACAAGTGAATGCATAAGACCATGACCCCTTTTTCTATATGATTATTGTTTGAGATGCATTAATGGGAAGCTGTTTTTGAGATTAATCATGCAAACCTACCTGTTGTTCACTAGGAAAAGACCTTCATAGAATGACATAATTCATTAGACACAGAACCATGGGATTGGTGATCAAGCCACTACTAGAAGACTCAGAGGTGCTCCAGCAACTGATAATGACCAATTCCAAACTCTTCAGGACTTCCATAGCTTCTGAAAGAAAAAGAACATTCAATATGATCTACAACAATGAGTAAGAGAAATAATGGAAGGAGGATGCTTGGACCAGAAGTTAGGTCTCTTGGTGTGTGACCTCTTTTATTATTGACATCATGCATATTTCTATAAGATTACAGTTCTATTTTAATCTAAAGCATGCAATGATTGAGAAGCCCACTGCCATATTTCATTCTGAAATAAAAATTCTAAGTAATTACATATTGATAAAACCGGGGTTTAATTTGAATTAAGTCTTTTAAGAAAACATTAGTTGACATAGCCATGGGTTTGAATTGGGAGATTGAGTTTGAACTATAGTTACACCCATTCAAAAAATTCTTACCCTTTAAGACTTATATTCTCTCTCCTATTTTTCTTTTCTTGATTTATGTGCTATACATTCACAAAATATTACTTTCTTCCTCTCCTAATGACCTCAACCTCTCCACTTTCTTCAATTATCCCCTCAATAGTGCTTTTCCTCTTCATTAGTTTTTTTTTTTTTTTTTTTTAACTCTACATATTTTAGAGAGAGAGAGAGAGAGAGAGAGAGAGAGAGAGAGAGAGATGTTAGAAAAAAAGTAAATATTTGTATTGGAGGATCAATAATTCCAAAAGAGTAAGTTATTAGAAAAAAAAATCTAATTTATTTTAAATTTTATATAACATCAATATTTTCAGTGTAAAATTAATCTATTCTTTTTATAGTCATTGCTCCCATAAAAGCACCACCTTCAATGGATATTAACGTGATGTTCAAGTCTTAATTCAATATAATCGAAGATATCAACTAACCTAACTACTAAAGATTTTGATAATATATCGTAATATATCTTGAGCTCGAATTCCATTATAGTCACTTATCTTTTATATATAAAATATATATATATAATATAATCGTGTAAGTAAATTCTAGATTAATTATTAAAATTGTAGTATGATTCATTTTGATTTCTTTAAATGAAAAGAGTCGTATTCAGTAGCCCTCATAATGTGTCCCAATAAACACAGGAAAACATGCAGACGGAGGAGGGCATGGCCTTGTCGACAAGACAACTCTCTTTTAGGAGCTTTTGTCCCTATAGATGATGCGTCCATATGAGGGTAATAATGGCGACATGACGGGCCACGACGTCAGCCTCGCCTGGACGATACTCTGCCCAAGGAAGAGGACAATAATGCCGACTCGATGTGCGTCGACGTCACCCGCTCTCGGACAACGACCTCGTCGTTGTCTGACCCCGCATGCTTGACCGAGGCAGAGGAGGATAACGACCGTGGCTCGCCCATACCCTGCGGCAGTTCGGTTCTCCACGCAACGCCAACGACAATGTCAGACGCCATCAAAGGTACGGCCCTGCCCCTGCAGGCAGGCACATTAGGTAACACTAAACTTACCTATAAATACCCCAGAGTTCTAAACGAATAAGAGGGGACTTCTTCATACAAAAATCCCTTCCGCATCCACTGACTTGATCGTCGGAGGGGTCGGGCCGAGCTTCCGACCCGACCTGTGTGCAGGTACGAGAACGTGGTCGTCCCTTCCCGGTGCCGGGGCAAAGGCTTCCCTCCCGACGCGACATCCCGACCGGACCGCCGCAATCGGCCACCGAGGGATCCCGAGGGACGCTGCGCGAGATCCCCACCATTCGGACCCCCGACCAAGCCCGTCGGCACGCCATAAAGTTGTTTACACCAACAGATTGGCGCTAGAAGGAGGGTCCAGTCCGAATGTCGAGCGATCAGTAGATCCACTCTAACGAACCCGCGGTTGTCGGGCTGCCCACGGTCAGCACCCCGGGGGAACATCCCCCGCATGATGAATCCCGAGACGAACGCCCCGCCGCAACGTCGGAATGCTATTGGCAGTTGTTCAACGACCCGGGTTTATCACCGCCTGACGGCGCCCCCGCCGGCCCGTCGCCGGTGTCATCTGAGGCCTTCCACGACCTCGCTCATCAAGTTCGAGCTCTGACGGGCGTAGTGCAGACTATCATCCCACTCGTCTCCCAGCCGACGCCCCCGCATATGACCGAATCTCTGTAACAGCAGGGGGCCCCCGCCCGGACTCATGCGCCACTTCCCGAGCTCCCCGTTTCGCCTCGAAACCGAATAGCCCAGCCCGGGAACCGAGAGGAGGAAGATACGGCAAGCCGCCCAGAGCCTGAGGTGATACCTGCGGACCCGACGAACACCCTGCGAGCCCAGTTGCGCCTTGTTAGTCAACGACTCGACAAAGTACGGCAAGAGGTTCGCAGGTCAAAGGGAGAGCTCGGGGCTGACAGACACCAAGGGTCCCCGTTCGCACCCGAAATACAAGATCAAGCGATCCCACAGCACTTCCGACTCCCTTCGCTGGATGCCTATGATGGCGCCACTGACCCAGCGGACCATGTAGCCGCTTTTCGCGCCCAGATGGCGCTGTATGGGACTTCTGACACCTTGATGTGCAGAGCGTTTCCAACAACTCTGAGGGGGCCAGCCCGCGCGTGGTATAGCGGCCTGAAGACCGGGACCATCACCTCCTTTGACCAACTCGCCAGAGACTTCGAGCTCAACTTCCTGGCCTACGCTCGACCAAAGCCGTCCGTGGCGTTGCTCCTCGGACTCAACCAAAGGGAGGATGAGCCTCTCTCGCATTTTGTGAACCGCTTTACGACGTAAATCCGGGGACTATCAGACGCTCACCCCTCTCTGTTAATGCAGGCATTCATGATAGGCCTGCGGCCTTCCAGGTTCTTTTAGTCTCT